TAGGCACCGCGGCACGTGGAAGCAGCCTGCGGGTGGAGGCGGGCAGGTAGTGAGGGCCGGGGACAGCCGAGAGGCGCAACCCCTGCGGCCCCGCCCTGTCCCCCACTCACCTTTGAAAGGACCTCCCTTGATGGAGAGGGCCACCTTGCCCTCTCGGCTCAGGTAGCCAAACCATTCCCCGTACTCGGGATCGCGAAACTGGAATAACAGAGACAGTGACAGCTAGCGCCTGCAGGACCCGCCCAGATGCCACTGCATCGCTACCAGGGGTCAGAGCCTGGGTTGATCCCAGGTAACATGGCTCCAGAACCAGCGATCTGAACCGCGACACTGCGTCCTCCACAAAGATGAAAGCAGGGGTGGGCGCAGCAAGCAGGGCTACAACTATATAACCGACTGGGCAAGGGGACGAGACACTGCTAGATGGAATGAAAGAACCCTGCCCTGGGATGTAGAAGCGTTCTCTATCAAGCCAGGCGCTGTGGCTCGCGCCTGAAATCCAGCACTTTGGGAGGCCGAGGCGGGCGGATCACCTGAGGTCAGAAGTTCAAGATCAGCCTGGACAACATGGTGAAACCTCATCTCTACTGAAAACACAAAATTAGCTGGGCGTGGTGGCGCACCTGTAATCCCAGCTACTCGGGAGGCTGAAGCGGGAGAATCGCTTGAACACAGGAGGCGGAGGTTGCAGTGAGCCGAGATCACGCCATTGGGCTCCAGCCTGGGTGACAGAGCAAGACTCCATCTCAAAGAAAGAAAGAAAGAAAAGAAAGGAAAGAAAGAAGGAAGGAAGGAAGGAAGGAAAGAAAGAAGAAAGAAAGAAAAAGGTTCTCTATCGTGATTGTAGTGGTGGTTACGTTGATTTAAAGAAACAAAGAACCCTGATGGAGGAAACGACCTGTCATGAAACTCTTTAAGATGTGACTCCCTTGGAGCTCCCATTCCCAGCTTCACAGGCCTGTCTTCCAGTAGATGTACAATCTCATCTGACTCCTGTCCTGGCTCACCATTGGTCCCAAATGCATCTCGTCGTCCGTCTGCCCCTGCCCAGTGCCCATTCCACTCTCTTTCCTTCTCTCTCCACTACCATTCCTTGGGGCACCTGTCTCAGGAAGGCTTGTCAGTTCAGCCTCTTCTCCAAAGGATCATGGAATCAATTACATTGAAGTCCAGTATGAAAATGTCTCTTTAAATGGTGGCCCATAAGAGTTGGTGTATTCTTCTTCGTAGGAAGTAAAACTAGTCCTGGGCTGGGCACAGTGGCTCACGCCTGTAATCCCAGCACTTTGGGAGGCCGAGGCGGGAGGATCACTTGAGTCCAGGAGTTTAAGACCAGCCTGGGAAACATAGTGAGACCCCATCTACACACAAAAAAAATTAAAGAATTAGCTGGGTGTGATGGTACACAGCTGTAGTCCCAGCTACCTGGGCAGCTGAGGTGGGAGGATCGCTTGAGCCCAGGAGGTTGAGGCTGCAGTGAGCCATGATCGTGCCACTGCACTCAGTCTGGGCGATAGAGACCCTGTCTCAAAAAAATAAAAAAATAATAATTAATAAATAATACTAGTTCTGTGTGTATTCATTCTATCTTTTGAGTTACATTGTTCAAGTCCTTATTTTTTGACTACTTGACATGACACAGGAAGGTAAAGAAGAATTTCCCTCAATGTCTGGATTTTTGCCTTCTGTATTCTGTTATGTTGGTTGATGCATAATGACTTACCTGGTTTTTTTGTTTGTTTGTTTGTTGGTTGGTTTTTTGGTTTTTATTTATTTATTTATTTATTTATTTTTTTGAAACGGAGTCTCACTCTGTCGCCCGGGCTGGAGTGCAGTGGCCGGATCTCAGCTCACTGCAAGCTCCGCCTCCCGGGTTTACGCCATTCTCCTGCCTCAGCCTCCCGAGTAGCTGGGACTACAGGCACCCACCACCTCACCCGGCTAGCTTTTTGTATTTTTTAGTAGAGACGGGGTTTCACTGTGTTAGCCAGGATGGTCTTGATCTCCTGACCTCGTGATCTGTCCGTCTCGGCCTCCCGAAGTGCCGGGATTACAGGCTTGAGCCACAGCGCCCGGCCGGTTTTTGTTTTTTTAAGACAGAGTTTCGCTCTTGTCGCTCAGACTGGAGTGCAGTGGCGTGATATCAGCTCGCTGCAACCTTCACGTCCCAGGTTCCAGTGATTCTCCTGCCTCAGCCTCCTGAGTAGCTGGGATTACAGGGACCTGCCACCACGCCTGGCTAATTTTCTGTATTTTTAGTAGAGATGCGGTTTCACCATGTCAGCCAGGCTGGTCTTGAACTCCTGACCTCAAGTGATCCGCCTGCCTCGGCCTTTCAAAGTGCTGGAATGATGGGCGTGAGCCAAGGCACCCAGCCCAATTTTTGTATTTTTAGTAGAGACGGGGTTTCGCCATGTTGGCCAGGCTGGTCCAGAACTCCTGACCTCAGGTGATCTACCCGCCTCCGTCTCCTAAAGTGCTGAGATTACAGGTGTGAGCCACCATACCCAGCCAATTTACCTGTTAATCATAGCTTTTGTAATTGTTTAATGTCATCTATATCTTATTATTTCATTTTTGAGTTATCACTGGTGGCCCCTAATACATACTCTATGAATGCATTAAATATTAAGATACAGCTGCAGGTCTAACAACCCTGGTGGTTTGGAAGTAGTGATGAGCATATGTGATGCTTGCAGATGTCTCTCTAACTGCAATGCAATATAAACACATCTGGGATTTCTATCGGTGACAAAGCCAGGCACTTCTATTACCAATGTGGTTCACTGCCTCCACTCATAATGGAAGCAAATGCTAGTTTCCGTTAGAGGTTAGTACAAATACAGATGTGATTCTCCACCCCCCGGTTTCGAAGCCCACACACCCCAGAATAAGATCCCCTGCTATAGTCCTCCCAGTACCAGGGTTTACCAGTGGAGTCGGAGTCGTGGCTTTAGAAACACATGGTGAATCTTCATTCATTCACCACCCAGGCCTTGCCACCACTGGGTGCCATGTCCTTTCCTGCATTCAGCAGCTCGAGGTGCCTCCTGGGCAGCAGTCAGGACAGCTTATCACTCTGCTCCTAGCACTTGGGCCTCAGGGGGCCCCTGGTTTGGTCTTCTTCCTACGTCACCACTGATTCCTGTCTCCTTTGCTGGGCCTCCATTTCCCTTTTTGCCTCATAGATCTCAGCAGCATCTGTACTCTTTTTTTTTTTTTTTGAGACCAAGTCTTGCTGTTGTTCCCCAGGCTGGAGTGCAATGGTGCGATCTCGGCTCACTGCAACCTCTGCCTCCTGGGTTCAAGCGATTCTCCTGCCTCAGCCTCCCAAGTAGCTGGGATTACAGGCT